TTTACTTTACTGGCTTGTTATAAAGCTTTTTTGTTTACAAGTCTGATAACAATCTGATTTTCTTACCCTTTTAGTGACACAGGTTTTTTGGGGTCCCCCAACCCCAAATAACCAAAGTGGGGTGTTTTTGTTTTTATGTTTGTTTGTTTTTCTTTAAAGTTTAGCAGATTTACTATAATTGATATTTTGGTTGGTCATACTGAGTCAGTTTTTCCAGGTAATTATGGTACCCTTTCACCATGAATATCCAGGAAGCTTTATAGAAATCATCATTTTAGTACTTGTTCTTATCCATTAGTTATTTTCTTCTCTAGGTTCTCCTTTTATGTGCATATTGTGCTTTCTTTGTCTTTATTCTATATTTATCACTTTTTTCAAAATATTTTAGCACACTAAATGCATACATATTTAGTGTTAGAATTTGTTTTGTTTTGTTTTGTTTTAGTGTTAGAATTTGATTAGTTTTGGTAAATGCATACGTCTACATAACTTCAGTTCTCCCAAGATAAAGAATATCTGCATCACCTCGGAAAATTCCCTCTTCCTCTTCCCTCAAAATAGTCCTTCTCACCTGAGTCAGTATTTTGATGGCTTTCACATCACAACACTTTTGTCTACTCTAGAATTTCAAATGAATTTAAGTATTCATTTTTAAAAATGTAAGGCAGCTTTTTATTTTCCATGTCCTACTTATTTTAAGATATGATCCACTGTGTTTTTTCACTCTTCTGTCCTTCCTGGTCTAGCCTTGATTTCTGAAATTACTTTCTATTTTATTTCTAATTCCTGAATTCTGTTCACATCTTTTTCTATTCACAAATTACATTGCTTCTGATTCTTTCCCGATTCTGATTTGTGTTGTTCCCTCCCAGTTTTTACATTTTTTTTCAATTCCTGTTAGCTCATTTTGAAATACTAGATTTCAGTTTCATGTTGGCATGTCTTTGCGATACGTTCACGTTTAACTACTATTACAATGTTTTAATATTGCTTATTTTCATTGATTCAATTTTTAATATTAGGAACTCACCTTATTATTTCCAGGAAGCACCTAGCATAGTGCCTCGCAATAATAAGCTATTGATAAATACACATTTTATTGAACTGAAACCTAGCCTATTGGAACAATATGAGATTTTCACCACCCTGTAGTGAAAGCGATATCTTAAGTCCGTAAAACCTTAAGACTTGTGCCTAGGACCTACCAATCACAGAGCTGCAAGGACCTTAACACTCTTGCTCAACTACTGTATTAATAATTCCATTTTCACCCAGTGTGGGGCGTGCAGGAGGCAGCCAATCAAGGATTCCCTGTCACTATTGATGTTTCTCTCTCTCTCTCTCCCTCTCCCTTCCTCCCTGAAATCAATAAAAACATATTTTAAAAAAATTCCACTTTCATAAAGAACTTTCCCAAGATCATATAGACACATAGTAGCAAAACTAAGGCTAAATCCCTGGTGTCCTGACTCTCAGTGTAGTGCCATATATAGTATATTGACAGTCTCAAAGCAAAGAAAAATGTGTTTCTGTGCGATATAGAATGTGTGCAGATGTTACATACCTACTTTCTGTCCTTTTGTTTTCTCCCATGCATAGTCAGTTACTGATAGAGACCCTGGAAATATGTATTTATCAATAGCTTATTATTGCAGGGCACCTGTCCCATTTTCACCCAAACTTGTGGACAGGAGGGTTCCTTGAGCAAGAACACGAGAAGAAGAAGTAATGGGGGATCACGCTCAGGGACAAGGAGGCCCCTTTTCACCTCTCCTCTCCCCACTGCCAGCACTGGGAAAGCATCAGGCGGAGTGTGATTGGCTGGCGATGCACTCAGTCAGCTTCCTCTGCCAGACTCACAGGAACAGATGCCAAAGCCACACCCCGAGGATGGGATCAGGAGCTTAGCTGTGATTGCAGCCTAGAAAGAGTTTTATCAACACAAGGCAGCATCCTAGACATAGCAGAGCTGTTCAAGCAGAAATAAAGGACCAAGTGAGAGGGTTTCCTCGTCACAGCCACTGGTTCTGAGTATCAAGGGCTGAGAGGAAAAATACAAAATAAACAAAGTGTTATTTGTCATATCATATAACCAATCATATTATATGATGATATATCTGTTGTGAAGAGCCTTAGAAGAACACACAGTCACTGGGTACGGCCCCAGAGGGCAATGGTGAGGGGGCTGGTAGATCACCCAGCCGGTGGCAGCACTGGGGGCATGCTCTCTCCACTATATCTCTGAACCGCTAAGCTGGGGCTTGAAGAAAGGCTTATGAGGGAGGAGCGCATAGAAGGAAACATAGAAGAATTGGGTTAAGAGGAATTATGCAGTTGAAGTCTATATACGACAAGCCAGTGTGTGTTAAAAGAGATACTGACGCATGACGCAGGGACGAAAATAAAATCCCACTACTTCCAGCCCCTTTCTTTCAGATGTAATCACAATTTATAATACTCAAAGCTGGAAAACCTCACTTCATGAAGAAAATATTTATTTAAGAATGCAATTGCTTGATATGTTTACTTAATACTTTAAAAATATAGTAAATAATCTATTGTAAATTCGAGTCAACTTGTCCAACAGGCCAAACTTGCTCTTTCCACCCTAGCGTGGTGCCCTTCAACTTGAACGTGAAGACAAATCGCTTGTTCTCATGTTAAAATGCAGGTTCTGATTCAGTAGTTCCAGGGGGTGCTCAGGATTCTGCATTTCTAGCAAGCTTCCAGGGGGTGCTGATGCTGCCAGTTCTCACTGGGCACTTTGGGCAGCGAACTATAGAGAGACCTAAGCTGTGCCTGCCTCTCACATCTGGGGCTTGGGCAGCGCAAGGAGATCACTAAGTAGGGATTATGGGTATCACAAAAGACGATACTGTTTATGTCAACACTTTCACTGAGTGCCTGCTGCATAATGGGCACTAGAAAGGGGAAAGGTAGCACTGGTTCTTTGGTTTATGGAGCTCCTGGGCAGGAGCAGGGGCTGGAGGAGGAGGCTGACAGTAGTAGATGCCGTGTTGGCAGAGAAGGATGCAACAGGAACTGTAAGAGAAACATGGCACAGAGAAGGAAGAGGTCCGTCTGGCTGAGCAAGAGCAGGCGGTTTCATTGAGGAGGTGAGATTTGAACCGCGTATCCTTTGTAAGATGCTTACAGTGGGTCTGGGTGGAAGGAGCTAAGTCTGAGAATGAACCGACTTCAAGAAAATTATTCTAGTCTTGATAGTACATCCTGCAGATCACAAGCCAGGTGAGGGGCCCGGCATTGAGATCAACCCAGTGGCTTCTCTGTGGAAGGAGGAAGATTAACAAAGTTAAGAAAAGAGAGAAGCCACTGGGTTGATCTCAATGCTGGGCCCCTCATCTGGTTTGTAGTGTTTGGACCAGACATACCCCAATAAGCATATGATGCCAGCTTGTAAGATGATCAAGCACAGAGGTGATGCTCAAACACATGGTGTGCCTTGCTTGTTGCAGATGCTCATGACATCTTGTTCAGATACTTAAATTTGAGCAAACTACTCTGTGCTGTGTAAGCAGAGGTGGAAGTATGTTTCTGACCTCTCTTAAGTTTGACACAGTATAACACTAATAATAGGACCAATCTCTCAGTGCATAAACTGTAGTTCGACTGGTCATTTGTCAACTCTATTAAAATATTATTTCCCAGTTAGTCACCAAGGTGTCCTCTCTATCTCTTCTCCTTTAGTCAGTCTGAAATGGTAACTTCCGGTAACTACCACCAAGTAAAACAGTTATAATGTGAGAAAGTGCTTGAATCTCATAGAAAGCTGGAGCACCCTAAGCCCACAAGACAGAATATTTTCCTGAATATTAGTTAACTTGCAAAGATGAAAAACCTGAGGAAATTCATTCTTTAGCTCCAAAAATCTCAAGCTTGGTTTTTTTTTTTTTTTTAACATTTGAAATCCTAGAAAGAAACACAATCTAGGGAGAAACAATTTGGAGGACTTCTTAATTATGTCCCTAATATGTAGATATTTTTCTAAGTTGAGCACCATTAAGGCAAAGAAATTTCTTGGCTGATTCCCGGGACTATGCTGGAAGTCCAGTAGGCAGGTGTGTTGAGCTAATTCTAATACCTACCTCAGAATATACATGTATTTCCTCAGTTGGGGAATTTTGTCCATCTACAATACAATGGTATGATCTTGTCATTTATTTTCTAATCTGTGTGGGATGTTATCTAAACCCTTTCTTTTTTGGGTGTGTGTTGCTTGCTGGAATGAGTAGCCATGGACCTGGAAGAGTCCAGCTCTATTACAGATGTACAGCCTTGTTCTCCTGAGGGCCAGTCTGATGCTAATGTGATTGGGTTTACCTGTGAGATTCGGGATGAGTGCTGCCCATCACAGGTTTCTCTAGAGCTGCAGTGATTCCAATTTCTGCAGAGTCCTTTTTAGAAACAGACTTTATAGAGATGCAGATAATCAGTTTCTGCTTTACTCTGGCCGGCTGCTCTGATAAAGCCTTTTTAAAATTGGAGGATTAGATGCCCTCGCCCATGTAGCTCAGTTGGTTGGGCCTTGTCCAGTGGACTGAAAAGTTTCTGGTTCGATTCTCAGTCAGGGCACATGCCTGGGTTCAGGGCTCAATCCCTAGTAGGTGGTGTGCAGGAGACAGCTGGGGGCATGCAAGAGGCTGCTAATCAATGCTTCGCTCTCACATCAATGTTTTTCTCTCCCTCTCCCTTTCTCTCTCTCTAAAAAAAAGGCCAATTAAAAAATCTTAAAAATATAAAACTGGCAGAATCGGTAGGGCTGGACTCTCATCTCCCTCTCCTAGCCATGGTGCGTACTGGCTGACTGGTATACCTGAGAGAACAAGGGTCTGGGTGATGAGCTCTTTTTCAGGTGTGATTTTCTTGTCTCATCTCTGTTTTATTCTCCTCCAGGAGAAATGGGTTCCATGAGGCAAGTGTGACCCTGAAGCCCAGCCCTGCAGCCACAGCCCGACACCCCGCTGGGCAGGCGGAGCACCATGGATAGCATCATTGAACAGAAGAACATGCTGATGCACAGTAAGATCACTGATGCTGGCAAGAGGAATGGCTTAATTAACACCAGGAACTTCATGGCTGAGAGCAGAGATGGCCTGGTGTCCGTTTACCCAGCACCCCAGTACCAGAACTGCCGGCTGCTGGGCAGTGCGGCAGCAGCCACCCTGGACAGCGGCAGGAGTGAGCCGGTCCAGCAGCTGCTGGACCCCAACACCCTGCAGCAGTCGGTGGAGTCCCACTACCACCCTAACATCATCCTCTACTCCGAGGGCATGCTGCGCTCCTGGGGGGATGGCGTGGCTGCCGACTGCTGCGAGACCACCTTCATTGAGGACCGGTCACCCACCAGAGAGAGTCTGGAGTACCCCGATGGGAAGTTCATTGACCTCTCAGCTGATGACATCAAAATCCACACCCTCTCCTATGATGTGGAGGAGGAAGAGGAATTTCAGGATCTGGAGGTCAGATGGGAATGGGATGTGGTGATTTGGTGGGAATCCACGAGAGCCTGGCAAAAATTAGAGAATGAAACTAGTGTGATAAAATGCAGAGAAACTGAAACATTTTGGGTGCCCCTTAAACTCTCTAGTGTTGGCGGAAGATGGGAGGAGTGGAGAGAGACGAAATGACCAAGACCAGTGAGGGCTTCAGCAGGAATTCTCATCAGAAATGCCCTCAGGTAATAGCTGTGGCGATAGGGTTACAGGTGGACTTAAAGGTTGGCAGCACCAGCAGGCCACTTGGGGACTCCCGCTAACACCCCACCCCCAGGAAAGAGGGGTCATTGGCAAAGTGAACAAGGTGAGAGGGACATGTGGCGCTAGGGCGGCAAAAGGCTAGAAATGCGCGTGTGTTGACAATTTGGGAAGTATTTTTGCTGCCACACGTGCGTGGTTTCCATAATTTGGCATGCCAACGTTTCTACTGAAGGCTCATTGGTAGAGCTAAAACCTGCTGGAAGGAGTAGTAGAATTGGTAGCCTTAAGAGAAGGGAAGTTAAATTATCGCAAGAGTCACTTCTTCATTAGACTGGAGAGCAGGTCAGGGTGGTCGGATTACATTCTTAGAAACATGCACATTGACGTGGTGTAACATGCACAGCAACCTCCGGTTTAGCTTGTCCCTTCTCCTTCGATGAAGCGCCCCAAGTGGGAGGTTCTTTTGTTCCCAGACCTGAACAAAAGCCATGCATTTGTCAATGAAGAGGCAGAAGCCCCAGCTTAAGGAAGGAATTTCACTGCCTTGAAGATAGAGGACATTCCTCCAGGACATGAATGGCAGAGAAAGAAGAGCCAGATTTTCTGGTGGAGGCTGGAGAGAGCAAGAAAGAGGTTTGGAGTAGAATCAGACCCACACTCATGGAGCCCGGACTAGGTAGAAGTCCAATGAAATAATGAGGGATTGATGGGTCAATAAGACCAGAATGATCAGGACTGGAGGTAAAAAAAGCAGTTGGAGAGAGATGTTCATTTTTTATTGCGGTGACATTGGTTAAAAAATCATACAGGTTTCAAGTACACAGTTCTATAATGCATCATCTGTATATTGTATTGTGTGTTTACCTCCCCCCCCCCCCCAGTCTAGTCTCCTTCCATCACTATTTACACCCCCTTTACTTTCTCCTACCTCCCCTCACGGCCCTTTCCCTCTGGCAATCACCATACTGTTCTCTGCATCCATGAGTCTGTCTTCCCTTTGTTTGTTAGTTTACTTTGTACATTTGATTCCACATATAAATGAAAAAATCTTGGATATTTCTCGTAGCCATATTTTTTTCTGACATATGACCTCCGGCAAGGGAAACAAATGAAAAAATAAGCAAATGGGACTACATCAAACTAAAAAGTTTTTGAACAGCAAAGGAAACCATCAACAAAATGAAAGAGAAATAAATTGTATGGGAGAACATATTCGCCAATGACACATTAATTTCCAAAATACATAAAGAACTTACACAACTCAACACCAGGAAAACAAACAATCTAATTTAAAAATGGGCAAAGGACCAGAATAGACACTTCTCCAAAAAGGACAGACAGATGGCCAATAGACAAAATGTTCAAGGCCACTAATCATCAGAGAAATGCAAATTAAAACCACAATGAGCCCTGGCTGGTTTGGCTCAGTGGTTAGAGTGTTGGACTGTGGCCTGAAGGGTCACAGGTTTGATTCCTGGTCAAGGGAACATACCTCAGTTGCAGGCTCCATCCCCGGCCCGGGTTAGGGCGAATGCAGGAGGCAACCAATTGATGTGTCTCTCTCACCTTGATGTTTCTCTCTCTCTCTCTCTTCCCACCTCCTCTCTCTCCTTCATTCTCTCTAAAAATCAATGGAAAAATATCCTCGGGTAAGCATTAAAAAAATAAAAACCACACACACAATGAGATATCACCTCAAGCTTGTCAGTATGGCTATCATCAGTAAATTAACAAACAACAAGTGCTGCTGAGGATGTAGAGAAAGGGCAACCCTCATGCACTATTGATGAGAATGCAGATTGGTGCAGCCACTGTGGAAAACAGTAGGAGAGAACTAAAATAATTAGAAATGGAACTGCTTTATGACTTAGCAATTCCACTTCTGGGAATATATCCCAAAAACCCAAAACCCTAATTCAAAAGACTACATGTACCGCATGTTCATTGCAGTGTTATTTACAATAGTCAAGGTTTGGAAGCAGCCCAAGTGCCCATCAGTAGATGAGTAGATAAAAACGCTGTGGTCTAGTTATACAATGGAATGCTACTCAGCCTTTAAAAATAAGGAAATCTTACCTTCTGGGACAGTATGGAAGGACCCAGAGCCTATTATGCTAAGTGAAATAAGCCAGTCAGAGAGAGAGAGAGAGAGATGTTTCAGTTAGAAGAGAAATTCAGAAATGGAAAAATAAAAAGTGATGTAGCAATCCCTATGCATGGAGCTGAAAACCAACTGACAGGCTGTGGAGAGAAGTTCGAGTGGGAAAGGCTATACAAGGAGACCTTCAGGCAGTTGATGGCACCTGTTAAGGGGAAGAGAAGGGTGTGAGCCCTGGCAATGCTAGAGTTTTGAGAAAGTTGGGAGAGGGCTTTGGCTTCCATTCAAAAGCCTCTGTGAAGTGTCCACTCTGTTAAGGTCTGAGGTGTTTTTGCTAAAAGCAAAAGTAGAAATGCTGCTTACCTGCATACAGTTTAGGAAGCAGATACAAAAAATGCAATGTCATCATAACAGAGAGTTGTAATGGACTTCCCAGTCTGCCTTGAGAGCATCTAAAGGAGGGGATGGGGCTCCTGCACTGCACCTTGAGGAGGAGAACCAGACTATTGGCCAAGAAGGACTGTGGGGAGGTGGTGGGAGAATTTCAGTCCAAGGAGACATGTGAGCAGATAAAACATGGAGGCATCCAACCTAGATCTGCAGGGAACACTAACTAGTTAGAATCGAAAAAAACCTATGGATCATGGTGAGGTCTTGGAGACAGGATCTAAAACAGTGGTTCTCAACCTTCCTAATGCCGCGACCCTTTAATACAGTTCCTCACGTTGTGGTGACCACCAACCATAAAATTATTTTCATTGCTACTTCATAACTGTAATGTTGCTACTGTTATGAATCGTAATGTAAATATCTGATATGCAGGATGTATTTTCATTGTTACAAATTGAACATAATTAAAGCATAGTGATTAATCAAAAGAACAATATGTAATTATATATGTGTTTTCCGATGGTTTTAGGCGACCCCTGTGAAAGGGTTGTTCGACCACCAAAGGGGTCGCGACCCACAGGTTGAGAACCGCTGACCTAAAAGAAGTAGGGTCCCATCACTGAGGGCTTACCAGCCTTCTAAGGGAGGCTGGATTTTAGGTGGGTAACTACAAGACAGGAAGGATGGACAAGTAATAGTGACAAGAAAGAGTCCTCTGGGGAGGTGGGGTGTGGGAAGAGGCCCAGGCCCATCTATAGCTTCAGGCCTGTTCAGGGTACTGCTGTGCTGCACCACACAGGCCAGGCTGCTGGACACCCTGATGGCTACTGGGAGTAGGGAACCACTGAGGGGTTTCAGGCAGTAGGACCACGGTCAGATCCATATTTTTGGAAGCTGTTCTGGCTGCAGAGTGGGACACGTGTGTAGGGGAGATGGAGGTGAGACAGGAGGGAGGCACAGAGCCTGTTGGGGGCCTATTGTCAGAGATGGTGAAAGAGAGAATCCAGACAGCATTAAACTGAATATCTTAAAAGTGAAATAGGCCATTGTTTGGAGATGATGGGAAGGAAGGAGTTAGGCCTCTTTCTTTCTTTCTTTCTTTTTTTTTTAAAAATGAATTTATTGGTTTGACATTGGTTCACAAAACCATACAGGTTTCAAGTGTACAACTCAATGAAACATTATCTGCACACTGCATCATGTGCCTATCACCCCAAGCAAAGTCTCTCTCCATCCCCACTCCCCCCGCTTTTGTCCACCTCCACCTAGCCCCCCAGCCCTTTCCCTCTGGCTATCACCGCACCGTGGTCTGTGTCTGTGTGTTACTTATGAAGGTGCAGGCATTAGCCAAAAAACATATATCCACAGACCTCTCTTGTACATAGATGTTTCCAGTCCCCTAAGTGGTCAAGCTGGCCAACAAAGGATTTTTATTTTTATTTATTTATTTTTTTAAATATATTTTTTTATTGATGTTTTACAGAGAGGAAGGGAGAGGGATAGAGAGTTGGAAACATCGATGAGAGAAACACCGATCAGCTGCCTCCCGCACACTCCCCACTGGGGAATGTGCCCACAACCAAGGTACATGCCCCTGACCAGAATCGAACCCGGGACCCTTGAGTCCGCAGGCCAACACTCTATCCACTGAGCCAACCGGTCAGGGCCCAACAAAGGATTTTTAGTTTTACTAAGAGTTTTCGGAAATCAGCTTCAATATATAATATCCACCAGCAGTTCAAAGTTTGGAATAGTTATTAGATTGAAAATGTAAAAGAAATTCCTGAATGTCTCCATCATTCTTTTGTCACTTGTTATACTCATATGTTTCATATCCATATCCTTGAATAGGTACAGTAGGCTAAGGTCAGTGGAGATGAACAGGTTATTAGCATATCTTTTTTTTTTTTTTTTGCCATGATGCTCAAAGTGTTTCTATTTAAAGCACAATGGAAAAGAGAGGGAAAAATGTATGCAATGCTTAATCCTCAAAGGAAAAAATTCAAGTTAAAGTGTGAGCTTTTCCTTCTAAAATGACATGTGTCAAATAATTTTAGACATATAAAAATGTTGCAAGAACAATGCAAAGCACTCCTGTATACTTACTTGTCACCTACTTTTCTCCAGTCTCAATAGTTTATCATATATGCTTTTTCTTTCCATCAGTATACATGTTTTTCTGAGCTATTTGCAAGTAAGTTACAGACATGAAATTCCTTTTCCCCTAAAGGAATCATGCGTTTTCTAAAAACAACATCAATTATAAAAGTGAGGA